AGTGATAGCTTCTGTTTCTTCATTTCTGGAAAATGAGAACAATATTAGATGTTATGAGAATTAAAGAGCACAGCACTTTAGCAGCCTAGTGCTTGATGCAAGGTAACAATAAATGGTACTCAGAAATTATTTTATAAAGTTATTTTTTTTTAAAGGTGTTAAAAATTGGGGATGATTATTTGTCATTACAGATAATGTTTTCCCCCCTCTTCCTCCAGGATGAAAATGGGATAAATAGACCAAGTCTGTTCCTACGTTAAACCACTGCGAGCTGGACGTCTTTTGGATACGCCAAGGCAAGCAGCAAGATTTGTTAATGTCCTTGGTTATGAAAGAGCCCCTGTTATCGGAGGAGGAGGTAAACAGGAGCAGTGGTGCACTTTGTTGGCCTTTCTCTGTAGAAACAAGGTATCATATACACATCATAGAAATAAATAGTTACTGTGAAAAGAGTTACTTTAGAAAAAATGAACATAGTGTCAGCCTGAGCAAGTCAAATCTTACTTTTCCATTTTCCCTAACATTTACATATCAATGCATAGAGAAAGTAATTTAGCATCATTATTTTCTCATGGAGTTCATTGATGAAGTTCGTTTTCAGGTCACCACTGTTGTTTTCAGCCTTTTTTTTTCTGGCTTGAACTCAGGGCCTTGTGCTTCTGCGCAGGTGCTGTCCCACTTGAGCTGCTCCTAGAGCCCTTTATGAGTTTCTTATCAAACAATGTGATTTCTGTGAAGCAGGGACATAAAAGTACTTGTGAGAAACCAAGTTATAGTAACAAGTGTGGTAGCAAAAGCTTGTAATCCCAGCACTTAGGAGGCTGAAACTAAAGGATGCAAGTTCAAGCTCAGCCTGAGATACATAGACCCTGTCTCAAAAAAAAGAAAAAGAGAAACCAGGTTTCAGATGGATTTGAGATAGCTCCGTGACCAGACTAGGTCTGTTTGTAAATTCATGGGTTAATGTTTGCTGAAGTAGTACATTTTTGAAAAGAAAAAAAAAATGACAAATACAAAATGAATATGGCCAAAAAATCTTGAATTGGTGTGCTTTCTTTTTAAGTTTAGGGTTTTAATAATTTTTTTTTTCTTTTTTTTAATTTCAATCACAAGTACATTTAAGAATTTGTATAGTTTTAATGACTTGATTTTAGTAACTTAACTATAGTTTATTTGCTGTTTCCTAATCTTCTGAATTTTTTTAAATGCTGATAATATAATGAACAAGTAAGACTGTTTTTAACATTTAATATGAAGAAATTAAGTTTTCATATATTATTTTGGAGTAATTTTGTTTAGTCTGAGGTGGTATAAACTGTATAGGTAATCACAAGATAAAACTCATATGGTGGAAAAAACATTTAAATGAAAGATTGATTTATCAATTAGAAACGTTGTGTCTTCAAGACAACTAAAGCCCATCAGAGGTGGATCACCTGTAATCCTACCTACTTGGAGGCTAAGAATGGGAGAATCAAGGTTTGAGGCCAGCCTGAGCAAGTAGTTCTAAGACCCCCATCTCCAAAGTAACCAGAGCAAATGAACTGGAGGTGTGGCTTAACAGTAGATTGCCTGCTTTGCAAGCATGAAGCTCTGAGTTCAAATCCCAGTTCCACCAAAAAAAAAGACAACTGAAAAACAATTAAACATTACCCCCAAGGCAGTATATTCAAACTATTAACAAAAAAAAAGTTAAACTCTTGTAAATGCCCCCTTTGACAGTTGGCATTGGCATTTGAACTTAGGGTTTCATGCTTGCTAGGCAGGGGCTCTTACTGTTTGAGCCACTCTGCCAGCCTTTTTTGTAATGGTTTTTGTTTTTTTTTTTTTTGAGATCCAGAGCAGAATCTCGAGAACTAATTGCCAGTGGCTGGCTTTGAACTGAGATCCTCCTGATCTCTGTGTCCTGAGTAGCTAGGATTACAGTGTGAGCCACTGGTGCGGCTGACATTGATTTTTAAAGAGAAAGCACATCTTCGAGTAGGACCTTAGCTGAGCCACAGTTGTCATCCCAGTCTTGGAGGCAGAGGCAGGAAGAATGATCAAGAGCTCCAGGCACCAAGACTATATATAGCATCTGCAAAACAAAGCACAAAAACAAGGTAGAGCCACTAATACAATATTTTGGGGGGAAAAAAATCATTCTAACACTCAATAGTTATTTCACTTTTGCATCTTATCTGTAGTCTTCCTATACTTAAATATTTATCTTTATGTAATTACTATTTAATATTTTAATAATATTTTTTCACAGAACAGATCAGATATTTTCTATGTAGTCTTTTTTTTTTTTTTTTTTGCCATACTGGAGTTTGAACTTGACCTTGCACTTGCTGAAGCAAATGCTGTACCACGTAGGCCGCCACCCTCACCCCATCCCTTTTCTGTTTATTTGTCAAGATAAGCTCTGATGCTTTTCCCTTGGCCACCTTCAGGTCTTGGTCCTCCTACTTGTACTTCCCACGTATTGGGATGACAGATGGGTACCACCACACCAGCTTGCTAGTTGAGATGGGGGTCTTACTACTAACTTTTTGCCTGGCTGGCCTTGAACCTCAGTCCTTCTAATTTCTACCTCCTAAGAGAGGTTGTAAGCCACTCTTTTTTTTTTTTGAGGTACTGGGGTTTGAACTCAGGACATCATACTTGCTAGGCAGGCCCTCTACCACTTGTGCCATGCTCCCAGTTTTTTACTTTTAGGTCTCACATTTATGCCCAGGTCTATATCACAATCCTCATATTACACTTCCTGCATTGTTGGAATGACAGGTGCATGCCACCACACCCAGGTTTTTATTGATAGAGATGGAGTCTTAACAACTTTTTGCCCAGATGGGCCTTGAACTATTGTCTTCCTGATTTCTGCCTCTCAAGTAACTAGAATTACAGGAGTGAGCCACCATACCTGACTCTGGATCGTAATGTTTTTAAATTGTGAAAGTAACATAACCATATCAAAGAGAATTTGGAAAATATAGGGTAAAATTAAATATAACCTACCCTAATAGTAGGCATTGTTATTTTATCATTCTCCTAATGCATTTTTCATACATACATACGAATTTCCTTAAAATTATGCACTGGTACATATAACCCAGTGACTTGAGTATTTTTCCTTTTGTTTTCTTTTCCTGTTGTATGATTTGTCAGCTTGCTCATTCATATTCTTTATCCACCTATTAAATCTTCCTAGTTTCCTTCTGTGTTGTCTGAGTTCTTTGTAAGTACTTGATTTCACTTTAAACACTTAGGTTCCTTTTATCTTCTAGGGTGATTGTGAAGATCATGCTAACCTTCTGTGCAGCCTTCTTCTTGGATATGGATTAGAAGCTTTTGTCTGTGTTGGGACTAAGGCAAAGGGAGTACCTCACGCGTGGGTTATGACTTGTGGAACTGACGGAACCATCACTTTTTGGGAGAGTTTAACAGGACACAGGTTAGTCAACTAAGTTTACAAGGATATTAAAGTGAAGGTTTAGCATTTATTTTTGTAGTGCTGGGAATCAAAGCCAGGGCACTGTACATGCTAGGCCAGCACTCCCTGAGGTACATTGTCAGCCTTAAATATTTAAAACTATAGTTTTATTCATAAAGATGGTACTCAAAGATATATGTTTATAATTTTTGTTACTAGAAACTTTTTTTGGAGACTATGTAAAAAATTACTTCAATTATAACGGCTAAGTAAATGAATGCTAAGAAAATATCATGTATCCATAAAAATTCTGTACTAATATGCTGTTGATAAAAAGTAAAGTATTGACTTTTAGTTTTATGCAATTGGCATGTTTTTTTTCCAGTGATCATCCCTAAGTCTGAAAATAGTTTTAAGTTGTAAATCATCTTTTCTTTAGAAAATTTGATGTAGACACCAACTCCATGTTGGCAAGTCCAGTGGATGTTTTCTCAGTGTATTATCCTGTCAGATTTGAAAGTTGAGTACTCCTTCTGTCCTGGGACATTCTTTTTCCTTAGTTTCTGTCATATCACTGTCTCAATTTTCATTATTTCTTTCTGGATATTCTTCTTAGTCTTCCTTCATCTTGTCTTCAAATGTCAGGTGTTCTAAAGACACAGCACTGGGCTACTTCCTTATTTCTCTAAGTTGTCTTTTTTCCTGGTTGATGACCAGTCTAGTTAGTCATGCCTAATAACATATAGCTAGATTATTTTAATTGTATAATCTGAGATAAATGTTTATCTTGACAATAGAAATAGAAATGTATCTTTGCTAAAGGCATAAGGTTGGTTTCTGTATTGTAAGATGTACCATGTAGTTAACATAGAGTAATTAAATTGTGGAGCTATAGAAAGGAAGACAAGTATTGTACTCTACATCTGCAAAGTAGTTATTGCCTTAAGTGTGGAGATAGTTTTTCCCTCATTAAGAGGCTGTCTTTGTAGTCTTTATATTCTCAGTATGTAAAATTATGAATTAATTTTTTTAGGTACATCCACAAACCTATCAATCCTGATGAGCCTCCGCTTGCTGAACAGCCCAAGCATTGCACCCATATCGAACAATTGGTTGTGTTTTCAATCATCAGATGTTCCTGGGAAATTGTCAGCCCTCGGATGCAGTAGAAACCTGCATATTTGATTTGAATGATGAATCCAAGTGGAAACCCATGAGTGAAGAAGCAATTAAGTCTGTGTGTGCCCCTGGAGCCACCACATCCCTCCCTCCTTTCCCACCCCTATGCGCACCACTATTGATGCATCTGTAACAAGTAATGAAATAGAAATGCAGCTGAGGCTCCTAGTGTCAGAACATAGGAAGGTAACTAACACTGAATCGGTTGTATATGATAGTGCCAGTCCCTGTTCTAGCCCTGAATAAAGCAAATAGATTCTCTAATTTTATAAAGCTTATTGTTTGGAAGTCATAAGAGAGAATTCTGAGACTCAAAAATTGCCAGGTCTTTTAATCCTTATAGAATTGTTACTTCCTCCTAGAAATGAAGAAGGATGGGCTTGTAGAGTTTGACCTTTGTGGAAAACCAGTATTTCCTCTGGTTAAGTATGAAATAGCTTATTTAAAATAATTGCTCCATTAAACATTACTGGATTTGTTTTTTTTTTTCACTTTTTTCCATCCAGGCTTGTTTCTATTTATTTTGTCAGTGGGTAGATGATTACTAATGGGACCAAATCTCTTCTTTAACAGACATGTAGATTTCTTTTGAAAAGGGCCTTAAAGAAGACATACAAAGTGCCAATTAAAAGGAAGAGATTAATATATTTTAAAAACTTATGTTGGACTGGGGGTAGAGAACTTGCCTAGCATGTGCAGAGTTCCCCAGCACCACAAAGCAAACAATCAAATAAAAACCCCAAAACTTAGATTCATCAAAAGAAATCATTAAGTTCAAATTCCAGTCCCACCACAAAAAGAACCATTAAGAGACTGAAGCTTCTTAAAAGTGGGAAAGTTAGTTATGATACATACAACCAACAAAGGATTGAAATCCAAAATTCCTATAAAAGATTGGTTTTGGATTCACCTTTGGTGCTCCCTATTGGATCCTCTTCTTGGTAAGCTCTGTTTTCCATTCTCCTGAAGTCATAGAAGGCAAACTGATTTATTCAGTATGTCTCTGAGTTCCTACTGTGTCTTCACTTTAGCCTCTAACGTATTCCTTACTCCCTTGCCACCTCATATTTTGTGTTTTTATAGTATATTTTCAGCAGTGATCTAATTGATTGCTGGAACAATTTCTGTTTTCTTCTGTCACTTAAGTTGCCTGGTAGCTTTCTTTTCTAAAATTGTATTACAAATGAAAGCAATAAGGATTTCTTTTTGTTTTTTTTTTTTTTCCCTCGAGATAGTTCTTGCTATGTACCCTAAACTGGCCTCAACTTAATCCTCCTGCCTCTCCAAGCCTGGCTAAGGATTTCTTACATTGTGAAAAATGTAACATAGCTAATAAGCTTGATCATCCTATTAGTTATCAGGGAAATGCAAATTAAATCTAGAATGAAGGATCTTTTTTCATCTACCCATCTGGCTGAACACATGCCATGCCAATCATTAGCTAACATAGTGGTGCCTATAAAGTAGCCAGGGAGAGTCATGTTTGCCTCAGGAAAGTGTAGTTATTGTGAACCTTTGAGATACCTGTGACCAGCTAAAATCTTGAATGTGAAATTAGGAAATGCTGTGCTGGGCACTGGTGGTTCACACATGTAATCCTAGCTACTCAGGAGCGGAGATCAGGAGGATCATGGTGCAAAGCAAGCCCGGGCAAATAGTTTGAGAGAACCTAATCTCAAAAAAAACCTTTCACAGAAAAGGGCTGGTGGAGTGGCTCAAGGTATAGGCCCTGAGTCCAAAACCCTGTAAAGCAAAAAAAAAAAAAAGGAAAGAAAGAAATTAGGAAATCCCAGAGATCTGTTGTGATAATCAAATATTCAGATTTATGAAAAGTTTTTGGTGTTTGTACTGCATTTTTAAATTCCATGTGTCTGTGTATCAGTAGTTCATTTGGTGTTACATCCTAATTGCCTCAAACACTCCTGGACATGGGCTTCATGTTCCCTGTGGGCCTGTGGCATGTTGTTTTACCTTCTTACCTCTTACAGTACTAAAGCGGGTATCTTTTAGAGAGTAAATGCTCAGTAAATATTTGAGTTTAATTATATATACAACTAATTTGTTGATTTTCTGCCTACTGCAGGGTTATGCAGATTCAATCTTACTGAACACTTTTAAAGTTAAATAAAAGCTTAAAATTTACTGACACTGTGTCTTCCATTTTAGGAATATTCCATGTGGTCTTCTCTAGTGGTTATTTTATTTGTGGTGCTTAGGATTAAATTCAGGGTCTCATGCCTGCTAGGCAAGCACTGTACCACTGAGCTACATTCCAGGTGCTCTAGTAGGTTCTTTTGTTTCTTCAGTACTGGGGTTTGATCTTGGGGCCCCTCTACTAGGCAAGCACTCTACCACTTGAGCCATACTCTAGCCATTTTTTGCATGATTTTTCAGATGGGGTTTGTGTTTTTTGCCTGGGGCTGGCTTCAGACTGAGATCCTCCCACTTAACAGTTTCCTTGGTAGCTGGTGCCACCAGGCCTGGCTTAAAGTATAGGCTATGAAGCCTTCATAAACATCATTATACTGAATGATTTTTGGTTATTTATAAGAAATAAGATGGAATAACCTGCAGCCCTATTGTTTTAGTTTTGTATGTCCCTATTATAATATGAAGTTTAAAAAGTTAGGACAGATTTAAAAATATCTTCTTGGCATTCATTAAAATGATGAATAACTAGCCAGGTATGGTGGCACACATTGTAATCCCAGTTCTCAAAGGCTAAAGCAGCCTGGACTATAAAG